TTTTTTTTTTTTTTTTGGCATGTGAGAGAGAGGTAGTACATACTTCAACATTTTGGAGTGTATGCTATACAAGCTCTTGTGCCGTCCTGAGAGAACATGATACGAAATGCCTCTATCCTGTAGAGCTTTCTCCAATTTGTTTACGGCAGAAGTAATCATTGCCTCATCAAAGGACTCAAGAAGCTTGGAGGAGAGATCTTCGTGCTGGTTAGGGTAGAGGTGCTTAAAGCATAAATTCTCCAGCTGCTCCTTCCAAGTAGAGATTCCTAAACGGTTGGCCAAAGGAACAAAAATCTCCAAAGTTTCCTTCGCAAACCTCTGCTGCTTTTCCAAAGGTAGTGCATCCAGTGTCATCATATTATGCAACCGATCTGCCAATTTAATGAGGACAGCTCTGGCATCTGCCATTGCGAGAAACATGGTATGCAGTCGATCTGCTTCTACCATTTTACTCGCCGTATTGTTATCACGGGCAAGCTTACTCAGCTGGCTCAGCTTAGATACCTAACAAATTGCCACAGAGATCAAAAGCTGGTAAGGCTTATGTTAAACTCAAAAAGTACATAAGCATAGTCAGCAGAAAATAACTACTAAAAAACATTTTCCTAAGACAGACGTAACAAACGAACCGTTTCAAACTGCAATGTCGAAGTAAAAGGTAGAACCGTAGGAAACTTATGCAATTAGCCACAGTTAAAAACAAATATACAGAACTCTCCCCCTAGTATAGAATTGCATGAAACTATATAAATAACATACTTTTCACAATCAAACTACATAATTGTGCCCTATAACTTGTGAGTCGAATTGAATAAAACATACAAGTTTCGAATATTTAAATTCTCACCCCTCCAACTAAATCAGCAACCCCATGTCCAAAAGTCTCATGAATGTAGTCGTAACTTATCAAAGAATCATCAAGCGTATCGTGTAAAAGCCCTGCAGCAACCACCGTAGAATTAGCACCAATCAGTGCGAGCAACACCGCCGTTTCCACACAATGCTGCAAATACGGATCACCACTTGCTCGCATCTACATCAAAGCAATGCAAAACACAAAAATTTCTCAACCAATATAACCAATATCCCAAATAAGATTATCTCTTAAGCATTGAAATCAAAACTCACCTGCCCTCTATGGGCCTTTTCGGCCTCGTAAAAAGCCTTAACAACAAACTCATCGCGGAATATCTTGTGCCGCAATTGCGCAGCCAGAAGCAAATCTTTAGCGTACGGCTCGGAATTGGACTCTGAAAAACCACCCTCAATGTTGAAGGTTAATTCATCCACAAGCGCAGCTGATAATCCCACATCCAAATTGTCTTCTCGCACCTCGAAACCCGTCGAATCGAAATCGACACACGACGATCCCAACGCACCTCTAACGAAGCCGTTGAACAAACCACTGCTTCCGCATCGAAACGAGCTCTGAAGATTGGTCTCCCCACTAGAACTACTCTTTTCCCTGGCGACCCTCATCGGAGGGCTTCTCGCCGAGCTCCCGCTGCACGAAACCGGGCCCTGAAATACCGAAACAGGGCTCTGATCCCTACTGCTCAAAGAAACCCCATTGAATTTGCTCGGAGAATAGCGAAAGGAGCTACTCAATTCCTTCAATTCTTCGCTTCTGTCGTGCCACAGAGATCCCAAATTGCCCAATTCTTCTCCTCCGCCGGAGAAGCTCGACGTCGAGGAGGCGTGCTTCAACGGATGAGAGGAAAACAGGCACGAAAGCCCACCGACAACCGGCTTCTGCGACGTGGAAGCGGTCGATGTCGACGACGAAGATCGGGAGCTCAATTCGAAATCGTACGTTGAGTGAGCATTGATCTGGCACGGGTGCGGCGTCGAGCAGACGCTACTCGGCGGGCTCGCGTAAAGAGCTATCGTCGGAACAGCCATGGAAAGTACTTCACTTTGCCTTCAAATCTCACCCTTAGATCAACACACCTTCAAGTCAACTACAAGTTCCTCAAAAGACCCGATCAAAAATTACCTCCACGAATAACCAAATGCCTCACATACCCAGAAATTGTACACTGAGATTTCAACCAAAGAAGAATCGAAACAAAAAAAAAAATTTATTTTTTTTTCAAGACCCAATTTTTTTTCTACCCAGATATTATAATAATAATAATAATAAAAATAAAAATAATAACCAGGAAACTTCCTCAAAGACCCAGAATTTTCTTACAAGTTTCTGAGCTACCAATCACTCAGCCGACGACGATAAAAACCCCCCCAAAAGAATTGATTATATTTTTTTCTGAATAAATAAAGGATTTAAGGGAGGATTTCTTCGGCGTAGGAAAATTAGGGAGAAAATTAAGCTACAGTATGTACAGATTTATATAGAAATAAGGAGAACCAAATCGAGTTTACAAAACGCGAACCCTAATTTGGACGTAATTTGGATGAACAAAGAAGGAAGAATAGTCAAAGACGATTGGAAAGAGAGACGGAGCTTCTTTTGATTTTGTGTGAGAACCAACCTCTGTCCTTGTCCTTCGTCTTCCTTTGATGTTAATTGATTAGCGGCCAGCGAATTGGGGATATGAGATTACCAGATTACCCTTCAGATGAAGCTGAAATAACGGGAAGGTGAAATCCGCATTTTTCTCAACGAAGGAAATTCGGTAGTAAGTTTGAATTGTGGTTTCGTTAATGGTGATATTTGGATAATCTAAATTAAGTTGGAACTGGAGGCTGGAGCTAATTAATTATCTGTGGGCCCGTTTTTATTTTGAGTTTTTGCTTTTTATTATTTTTTTTAACGAAGTTGTGCACGTCAAATGTAAACGAATCTGTTTAAGAAATATAGGGAAATAGAAACAGATAACCAATGCCAGTTTCTTTCTTTTAAAATGCGGAACACGTGTTATGAACTTGAAGAGTAATTTATCTGTTAAGTTTTAGAGCTCATTTAGTTTATGAATTAAAATTATGTGATTAGAATTATTTTTGATTTACGTGTATTTTTTATGAGAAAAAATACTATAGCGAATCACGAATCATAATTTGAATCAAGGAATGAATTCCTTTACCAAACAGACTCTTAGTAATTGTGTTATTATAAAATATATAAAATCTTAAAAATAAATGATAATAGAAGAAAAATAAAAATTTGGGGCAAGAAGTAAAGAAAAAAGTCAAAAAAGGATTAAAAATGAAGAAATAGATAAATTTTTGGGAAAAAATAACCACACAAAAAGAATAAAGTTTTAGAGAAAAAGTATATAGAAAGGGTTAAAAAAAATTGAGAAAAATAAACCAAAATGGAAAAAAATAAAATTTCAAAACAAAAATTTAAAAGAAATAGTCAGAAAAAGACTAAAATTAAAAATTTAATAAATTTTTAAGCAAAAGAGACCAAAATGAAAAAAAAAAAGCTTTAGGATAAAAATAAAAAATGGTTCAAAAAAGGATCAAAATGAAGAAATAAATAAGTTTAGGGTGAAAATAACTAAATTAAAAAATAAAATAAAATTTAAGAACAAAAATAAAAAAGGGTCAAAAAAAGGCTAAAACTAAGGAATAAATAAGTTTTAAGGTAAAAAAAATAATAAAGTTTAAGGATAAAAATAAAAAAAAAGTTTTCTAAAAATGATCAAACTGAAAAAATAAATCAAAAATAAAGTTTAAGGATAAAAATAAAAAAAAAAGTTTCTAAAAATGATCAAACTGAAAAAATAAATAAGTTTCATGATAGAAGAAGCCAAAATAAAAAATAAAATAAAATTTTAGGATAAAAATAAAAAAAAGTAAAAAAAAGATTAAATGAAAAAATAAATAAAAATAAGGTAAAAAGTTAAAAAAAATTAAAAGGAAGAACTTTAGGAAAAACAAAAAAAAAACAAAAAACAACAAGGAAGAGTGGGGCTGCATTTCGACCAACAGTGAAGCGCTCAAGCTAGACTAGAGAGGATTTAAAAAAAAAACAAAAAAAAAAGATGAAGAATAACATCTAACAAGGAGAACGATTCCTTGAGAGCCGAAAAAGGAGAATATTATCTTTTGCTCCTAAAAAATTGATATTCCCCTGTGAATAATGAATATGGTTAAGAAATCTAGTGAAATTCATATCAAAACATTAATAAATGTGGTTACAAAATATAGTTAAATTCATATCAAAACAAATGTTTATGTATTTCAAATTCTTCCCAAAAATATATTTCAAATTCAAAATTTGTTCAGATGCGTATATTGACCGGCCATATTAATTCGAGTTGAGATGTGACTTTATATAAGAGATTTTTATTGTAGTAATCAAGTTAGATATAAACATTTTTTAGAGCTTTTTACTGTAACAAAACTCAAATTCTAAACTCCAACTTCCATGTGCACTTGTTTAGTTCGTTGATTCGAGTTGAGATGTGACTTTATATGAGGGCTTTTTACTGTAATAAAAAAGTTAAATGTGACTGTTTCTGATAATTTTTTACTATAATAAAACTCAAATTTTAAACTTAAATCGATAAAGTGAACGGTCAAACACATTCCAATCCCAACTCCGAAGAATCTGTTCTCTTCAAATTATTTGACATTTATTTTTAGTTTTAAAATGAAAAACAGTAATAGGGGAACATTATTAAAAAGTGTAAAACCTGGAACCACGTGTCTGAGTTTGGTCTGCTATGATACACGGGTGTGCACAGTCATATTGTGTACCCACACTCTGAAACCCAATAAAAACAAAGTCAAGCTTATATTGTACATGGACTACCGGTACAAAAAACAGGAAACGCACCGGGAAAACTCTCTAAAAAAAATGCTTTTTTTTCTTTGCTGAATTAAGAAAATGCTAAGCAATGATTTATCTTTTCTTTTATAATTTACCAAAAAAAAATATTATCTTTTTTTTGTGACATCGTATATTAGAAACTTGAATGTTTATGGAATTTCCTTCGTAGACTTCTTTCTTGCGAAAACAAAACATAGGGTTCGTTCATTTCGTTGATTCGAGTTTAGAATTTAAATTTTTTTACAGTAAAAAGTTCTCATAAACAATCACATCTAACTTTTTTACTACAGTAAAAAGCTCTCACATGAAGTCACATCTCAACTCAAATTCTAACCTCAAATCAGCGAATCAACGAAATTAGTTCCTTTAACAAGTGCCCATGATTTAAGCCTAAAAAAAAAAAAAAAACTATTACCGTGTTTGAAATTATTCTTATTTTTATTTTTCACGTTTTTTGAGAAATAAAAAATGAAAGTGATTTCAAAATAGTATTTGACATAATTAAAAATAAAAAATAAAAATAAAAATAATTTTTTATTTTTTATTTTCATTTTCTCATCTCAAAAGTAGAGAGAGACATTACAAAATTTTTTTTTATACTGAAAACATTTTTTTAATAAAACTATTAAACACATTTTTAAAAATAATTTTTGTCTGAGATTAAAAACGTTTTTATTTTTA